GAATAATGCTTTGGATCGACGCGCACAAGAAATGAACGAATCGAAAAATAAGATACAATTACATTTGTATAAGGTGCAACAGGAATTGTTCGATTTGGAAAAACATATTTTCTTGCTACAAAAAGCCATACAAGACAAAGCGCATCCATTGAGGGTAGCACAAACTCGTCTGGAAGCGCGTACGCACCGCGAGGGTATGGAGTTATGCAAGTGAGTATTTTCGAAAGAGTCGTATTGTATGAAAAGTGGTAGGTTACATTTTATAGTTTATCGGACGTCGTTGAATGTATTCAGGCATGGAATTACGAAAGGTATAGGGGGTGTTCAATTTACCGGGTCTATTTATTGTCTTAAATTTAAAAATAGATCTAGGAACCTGTAGAAACAAGTCTAGGGGAATTTCTAAGGATGGGTTCTTATTCTGTACGAAAGTATAACACCAATAAGTCCTCTTAATTTTCTACATTTAAATCCTCTATATCGGGGGTGATTTTCAGAAAAACTAGTTTCTGATGTTAGAATCCATCTGGGGCTTAACTGACATTGACTACATTACTGTTATCTTTATATATCGTTCTTGGTACAATTTAGTGTTGTATTTCAACGTTAAAAACGCCATCAGAGTTGCCAGGACAGATTTTTTTGAGAACCGCAGTTAGAGAGTATTGACTACTTGGTATAAGCCCTCTCTCTGCAGTTCCCTAAAAAATACTACTGGTACTGATACCACAAAGTAGGGTAAAAGTAGGAAAGCTTCCCATTGGGAGTATGAAACATAAGAGGTCTGAATACCTAATAAGTTTCCATGTTACTGAGGGAGAAAATAAAAACCTTTGTTCCCATCTCGCAATCAAAGAAAGGCGGCATGGTCAAGAGAACCATCTTTAAAGTGGAGGGTCAGATTTTCTAGTTTAGCGGACGTCATTGAATGTATTCAGGCCGAACTAAGCAGCAAAACTGCTTGGAACCAGAAAATTCTAGATAGTACCTTTAGGTCACACACACCCAAAGGTGGTTCACAGGTTTTTCAAAAAATGATCTCTTCTTCCATAGGGATTTACCTCAGTATCTTCTAAGTATAGGTTATGCGACAATGTAATTTGTAGCAAGAGCCTATTAGAAGAACTCGCGAGGACTACGGTAGGCTAAAACACGTGTAGGAAGTTACAACCCAAAAAAGTCACACTATAACAGGTATACTGGCAGGGTCTCAAATCAAATGAACGCACTGGGAATTAGCCAGAAGTAGACAAACACATACATAGAGGAGAGCTGCAGCTAGATGCTACCCCTATTCACACTTCCCTGAAACTGCTATATTTCTTTAGGCCTGAAGGGCTAGATGAGGTTATACTATGTCTTGAGGTTATACTTGACTTGAAATTAAAAAAAATTGATTCTTGTAGTTTTTGCAGCAGAAAGAACCATATTTTTATAAAAAAAAAGTAAAATTTTGTATCGAAAACATAAACAAATAAACTCGTCAAAACGTCAGGGTACTCATATTTTTGGTGCTGACTGTATATAAATTTTAGGCCTATTTTTTAACATTAAAGGAAATTTTTACACCTACAGCAGAGCATAGTCGCATTTAGGTGCGTGGTGTTGGTAGTAGCCTAAACATGAGTTATTCCGCGCCAAGTGACGATATTTACTTACAAATTTGAAATTTTATAGAAGAAACAAGTTTTAATTTAATACAAGAAAGAAAATACTGTTTTAAAGATGCCAAAAAATTTGGTATTTCTTAAGATACGGCTTTGATATTTTGAAAAAAAATAACGGGGTATGCATTCCCGAAAAAGTGTCAAATAGGGCTTTGTGCGTTGACGGTGACGATATTTAAGCTTTAACTTGGTGGGAAGTTATAATTTAATGTTTTTTTTTTCAAATTTGTCAGAATGAGCTAGGGCTAACTACATACAATTCTATAGAATCATCTCTTTATTCTCACCCAATTTTCTTTTTGTGAAATCCAGGGATTGGGCACAGTTGCGTTTGGTGCAGGAAGTACAGGATCTACAGGATACTGTTAAACAGCTGCATCATAAGTTGCAAGAAGCCGAGGCTCAGCATCAGAATCTGCTAAAAACTCGCTCAACACTCGAGGCTGATTTGCGGCGCAAAGTGAATGCATTGTTTATTGATCGTGAAAAATGTATGGGATTGAGGCGCTCTTTTCCCGTAAATAATTTGATTAAATACTAAATTTTAGATGTTTAAAAGTTGTTTCGTATATAATTGTACATAAATAAATAGAGTTGAATGTACATATATATGTATAAGGCAGATATTGAGTGCTAGAATATTATGTGTTAATAAATTAATGATATTTTAATCTCAAATCATAAATTAAAATCTACATTTTATCAAATTATATTTTAGAAGTTTTGTTACTTTACAATAGATTTTAAGGCAAGTTTCGATTCCCTCAATGGGTGGTCTTCCTCTAAGGCTCTCTGACAAGGTGAAGTGCTTGGGCTTGATCCTTGACATTAAGCTTTCCTGGAAGTCTAACGTAGAGGAAAGAGTCAATAAGGCCACAGAAGCATTGTATTAATGTGGAAGGGCCATTGGCAAACGCTGGGGCCTCTCGCCGAAGGTAGTTCATTTATGAAACTATTATCAAACCAATTTTAATATATGGGGTACTCTGGTGGAACGCACTTGACAAGCCTAACATCGTCAAGCAGCTGGAGAAGGTGCAAAGAGCCGCCTTAATTGGAATCAGCTGGCGGGGCTGCTGTTGTGCTAAGGCTTCGGGTTCTTACCGACGCGGACAGACCACTGCATGCCGGTTCTGGGTTCGAATTGATCTTTTATCACCCACATTCCAGCGAGAGGAGACTGGGAGGAGTGCAGTATCTGGAATCAAGGACCTGTAAACTTATTTACGGGTGGGTCGAAGCTGAATGGCAAGATGGGTGGAGGTTTCTTCTGCGAAGAACTCTCCACAAACCAGAAATTCAGGTTACCGGATCACTACAGCGTTTTCCAGGCTGAGGTGGCCGCGATAAAAGAGGCTGCGGATTGGTTGCTCTCTAGTGTAACATCTTTTAAGAAGGTGAATATTTATTCTGACAGCCAAGCAGCCATTAGGGCTCTTGCCTCCCTGACGGTGCGTTCGAAAAAGGTGAGCGAGTGTTTGACTTCCGTATCGGCCGCGTCTGATTATTTCTCTAATAAGCTTATTTGGGTTCGAGGTCACAGCGAAATTGCTGGCAACTGTATGGCTGATGAGCTCGTAAGACAGGGAACCCTTGAGGAACTACTTTCGGATAGGGGAGGTCTGGGGACTCACCTGACCTCGTGTGGTCTGCTTCTGAACAGATGGGCGTTTAGTCAGCTCAGCGAGCGCTGGGCGAAGAACTTGGAATGCAAGGTGGCAAAATTCTTCTGCCCTCGGGTGTCCGGAGGCAGTCTAGGAAGCTCTTGAGACTAAGCAAGCTACATCACTCACTCTTGGTGGGAGCGCTTACTGGGCACTGTGTGATTGGTAATCATGCCGTAAGTCTGAATGTCATTGATAACCCTTACTGCACATTACAAAACCTGCTGCTATGGTGCCCTCCTTTTGAGAGCCCTCAGGTTTAAGCACCTTGGGTATCGGGAATGGACATCAATTGATTGAAGAGCTTCGTTGCGAGCACGGAGTGTTTCTCATACCAAAAACCATAGGTGTCGTCATTCTCCCTTAGCATCCCCCTCATTACCCTTCCGGTCACCCTGCGTCCTTTTTCCCTCACCCCTCTAAGGGCATCACAATGGACTGCTTAGTCGAGTCCAAGGGTGCCTTCATATACGGAGACAGCCCGTTTACCTAACCTAACCTCAGCTGCGATTATACGAAAAGCTGTTAATCGGCCAGTATGTGTTTGAGATCCCTAAAAAACTCGAACGAGTCAATAAATTTGTTTATGATTGATTTCGATTTCATTGCAGGGGGAAAGAAATTCCTTAATTAATAAGTAACTCCTGTAAAATAGATAGTGAACATTGACTAGGTTACTGTCAAATCTCTAATGTCAATAATGAGCAAACATTTTTTAAGAGGGTAGAGTACGTGTTGAAATAATTCGGCAGCTGTGGTTCATGCTCCGTCGCCTCCAATATGTTTCAAGCTTCAAACACAAGTTAATGGAGTGTGAAGAGTTGAAATCCTAAAACTTCATCGCTGGTTTGAGTAAATTATGGTCAATAAGATAACTACCTCACCAAGATCCCCAATTTGTCAATGGCCATTGCGATGGTAGTTGGCGGCCGCTGTGGTTGTAGCGGATAGAACTGCGCACTACCATTTTGCATATCCGCAAAAAAACAAAGAAAATAAACACTTTTTTTATGGCGATCAGGCAATGGCAAATATCAAGGTATATCTGAGACGAAAAAAACTTGGCACACAAATACAATCGCCGTCCCGAGTTAGCGTAAAACTGTAGGTCTTGTCGTTTTGTGTGACAACATCAAGGCGCACACAACAAATCGGAGGAGACGCTCGGCCAAATACTAACATATTGACAGAGTGCTCTCACTTCAACCAAAGTCTCTCCCTCCTAATAGCTACAAATGTAAAGAAACGGATATCGAATTATTTGTAAAGAAACATGCCTACGAAACAGCTGTCATCTTTGTCACCCGTCAGCTGTTCGCAGGTGCTTCCTTTTTGTTGTCAGGCCAAAAACACCACTTGTAAACATCGTTATCGACTTTATCGGCTTTAGTGTTGTGCAAGTTCCGATTTGTACAACTTAGTTTCATATATGTATATATTGAAAAGCAACCACATACGATAATAGCATGATTCTAAAACTAATTGTTATACAAAAAGCTAACCCATAATAATTATGAATCACGCAGTAATAGTATAGCTTTGCATATATGGCCTTTATTAATATTTTTTAAATACATTGAAGTGTGCAAACTTCGATTTGCACAACTTTCTAGCACTTATATGATTGACAGTTTCGCAGACTGTTGCGCATTTCTAGCAAATTCCGCTGCTGGCATTCTTTTTGTTACATCGTTTTTTTTGCAGGTAGGTTAATAATTTTAGGTGGAAAATTAAAGAAAAAATAAACAAAAGCGTACCTAAAGTGATTTTAAGAAAGCGACTGACACAAGAAGGCATAATTAGTATTGGTGAGTACAAGCATTTATTTTAAATTGGAAAAATCAATACCGGCGACGATACGTTTTTATTGCGTGTAACACCTAGAAAATTTGTTATATTACTCAAAAGTGCATTTAAGGTAACATGTGTTCTAAGGGCCAACTAGTAAAATAAAAATATTTCCATAGGAGGTTTTAGATATCTTCGCGAATTGTATGCACATCAAGTCAGTATGTACATATGTATGTATGAAGATACAAACTATGTAGTTAACCTATAGGTAATAGTATATCTGACGTGTCTTCAAAAATAGCGAAATGTTCCTAGATAAAGGTGCTACCATCGTTCATTTCCAACATATTGGCGTTCCATTGTGAGTTAATATTAGCAATGTACACCATAGGATAGTGTCATTCTACTGTCTAACCTGTACATTTTCTAGCACCAGTAGTTTTATTATAGGTAAAAGATTCTAAAGTTTGTGGTAGTTATCTTTGATAATCGTCAGCTTAAAGTAAAAACTAAGTCTTATTTTTATGGAAACTTTAATGCATTTTGAGCGTTGCCAGTAAGATACATAGCTATATGTTGTATTTCTAAGGCCAGTTCCACACGCTTCGGTCGCCGGTTTGCCGGCACGAAATGTGTGAAACCGCGCGCCAGATTAGGTGAAAGCCATTACAATTTCGAGTCGGCCATCCCTCTGTTAGTTAATGGAAACCGGAAACAGCACTAATAGTCTATTAATGACAGGCAAATCCAAATTTTTCAGCAAAAATAGTATACGTCAAAAATAAGTATAGTATGACGTTTTGCCGATCTTTCTATTTATTTACATATTTATATTTCTCATACCAAATTTTTCCTATTTTTTTTATAAAAATATATCTGGTTCATTCAACAAAAACATCAGGAAGCAGTTGTTTTATTTCGTACAGAACTAAAGAAAATTCTGAAAATTTTCATCGAAATATCCAACTTTTCAATTTGATTTCCATCCCCATTAAATTTTAGTATAAGTATAAGGTCGCTAAAAATTGCCGTTGATTTTTTAGATTTTTTTTTGCCAAGGGCTGCAAAACCGCATTCTCAAATTTTTCTAAGAAATCGAATTTAAAAATTTTAAATTTCGATTAAAATTTCCTGGTGTTTCTTGTATTTCCTGCATGAAATTAGAAAAAAAATGATTATTGTTGTTTTTGCTGTTCAATAAACTACATATTTCTATTTACATATCTGTGTTCGTATGGAATAGTAGCTTATGTCGAAAGGCAGGCTTAGTATAATGACTCACGGCCCCGAGCCGTTGAAGAACTCCTGGCAAATAAACGTTCTAGAAATAGTTCTGATACTAGCAAGTCAATATTCTTATTAAGTCTTATCAAAAAATTCTTTGTGGTTTAAACAATAAAGGGAATGCCACATTATACTAAAGACAGCTTCCCGACATAAGCTACTATTCCATACGAACACAGAAATACATATTTTTTTATTTGGTATGAAAAATAAAAATAAATTCGTGTATACTTATTTTGGAAGCTCACTGTATATGTATTGAAGTGTTTTTGCTTAGAATACTGAAAATTGCTGTTTTCTGCACTATTCAATAGTGCAATTTTCAAGTGGTTACAAAATACCGTTGATTTTAGGCAATTTTATGCATTTTTTCCATACAAAGACTGTTCGATAATTTTTTTTTATATGGAAGAGAATTCTTAGAACCGCCAAAAAATAAATTGCAATAAATCAACGGTATTTTGTAGCATTTTATTGTACTAAAATTAAGTGGGCTTTAAAACGGAAACCAAAAATTTTCCCAAAAATTCTGAGTAAAAAATTTGAAACTTGGGTGAGAATTTGTTGAATTTTTTATAATTTTTATGGTGTTTATTGTATAACTACCAAAAATTTTATAAAATAAAAAATATTAAACATGAAGTAAACCAAAGAAATATAGCCAAGACTGGTAAAAATAAGACGAATTTATTATTTCTGCCAGCAGTATAAATTTTTATGCATTAAAGTACACCTTTAATAGTTAATTAAATTTAACAACTCTTAATACATACAAAGTACCTATTATGCGTCTTATGTATATATACCTAAAAGCTTATCAGCCTCCTGAGAGTTCCAATCCACTTAACGACTTTTCTCCAAAGTTGGGTTCATAATGAAAAATTTTCCCACACATTTATCTGCAATTTCTAATCTAAAAAATTTTATTTTACATAACATACTTGAGTTTCATGTAACGTATGTATGTAATGTATAATAAAGGCTGCCGTTTGCAATCAAAATTGGTATAAATCAGAAACTCGCAAATCATGCCTTACATTCTATTTTCACCATTTAATAAAGGAGGACGTGAAAAGTCGTCGCTTTTCATAATTCTAATAATAGAAACTTGCATGTTCAACGCTTTAATTTTTGCTTATTTTTTAACGTTAATTGCCAAAATTTTAAATTTACGTAATACATATCATTGCAACATTTCTGCAGCTACGTCAATATGCGTTTGGCAATATTTCTTTTAATATTTTGCATATTCGAGTATGCGCTGACCGTGGACCAAACGAATTTCAAAACATGTGATCAGAGCAGTTTTTGCAGGTAAACAATTTGAATTTATTTCTTTGCAAGTATTAACATTTCGTATTCATTACCCAAAGGCGATGCCGCAAAGTGAAGCCAGATAATCCTAAATTTGCTTTGGTACCTGGGACACTCAATATATACTCAGATTCCATAACAGCCGATCTGATACATAAGGACAACAAACATTTGTTTAGCCTTAAGTTAGAAGCTTTGGAGGTATTTGT